TAGTGTGAGCGAGACACATATGGTGTTTCACCTCTTTTGGGTGAAACACAACTCCTAGCTGAGTTGTTTTGTCATTTCACATGTCACGTTGACTCGTGTGCTTCACAGATTTGCTTCATGCATTTGGTTAACTTGAAGGTGGTTGGTGAGCGTGTTGGCCACTTGGAGTTGGCCGGTGAGCACGCGGACCACTTGGAGTTAGCCGGTGAGCACGCGGGCTACTTGGAGCTGGCTGATGAGCGTGCGGGCCACTTGAAGGTGACCGATAAGTGCGCGGGCCACTCAGAGCTGGCTAATGGGCATGAGGGATACTTGAAAGTGGCCGATGAGCGTTCAGACCACTCGAAGTTGGCTGATGAGTACGCAGACCACTTGGAGGTGGCCGGTGAGCGTGCGGACCACTTGGAGCTGGCTGATGAGCGCGCGGGCCACTTGAAGGTGGTCGGTGAGCGTGCGGGCCATTTGGAGCTGGCCGGTGAGCACGTGAGCCACTTGGAGGTGGCTGATGAGTGCGTGGGTCACATGGAGGTGTCCGGTGAGTGGACATGCCACTTGGGTTGCCATTTCGGTGGCTTGTTGCTACGTCATCAATGATTCGCCGATTCGCTTCCTACACTTATTAGCGTCAGATAATTCTCATTGACTCGGATAATGACGTTCATCATCTTCTCTCCATCTCGAACTATGTATGAGAACCTATAGGTAATTTTTAACGCCTACATCTCTTGCTGAAACGTGCCCAACACTGCTTCTTCCATCTGTAACATCAATGAAACATTAGAATTATATATAAACAAGATTTTTTAATTATTAAGCATATATAATCTAACCTTGTTGTCAAGCCGACCACCAGGAAGCAAATATAACAACTCTTCTTTGTTAATACTGTTATTTGATGTTTTTATAACATCATATCTCCTGAAAATTAGAACTAACATGAATTAGGACTAACATGTGACGAATTATTACTTGCATAAATAGTTAATTGAAACTTACCTATGAATATTTTGGGAGAAAAATTTGGTTAGATAATTATCCTGAGCTTTGTTGAGTCTGGCAGCTACTGCAGATGATATCCTAAAATTATTTACCAAAGCACCATTGCTATCTATTATGCGTATGTTAAACAATGCAGGGTTTGAAATCTCTTTATTTAGCTCACCCAATAGAGCTACCTCCTCCTCTGTCATTGGCTTCAAACTCAAAGCATCCCAAGTGAGAATTTGATTGTCGGGGTAAAAATGAGTAACTTTGTCAAATATATGTACATATTCAGGACTTGAAAGTATATCTATATTAACTTTTTGCTTTATCTTTCCCTTTCCTTCTGTGTATGGGGTCCTCTTCCATTTAGACCTCTTGCTTACCCTTCTTGGCGGTCACCTACCCTTCATTTGCATATTACTTGTTAGAACTTCTACAATTTTGTCCACTTGTTGTGTAATATTTACAAAATCCTCTTCCTTATCTACGTGTTCCTCCTCCATATCTAAATTCTCCTCAATCTTACTATCTACATTCTCCCATTCTCTACCAACATGCTCTACCTTATCTGCATTCTCCTCCTCCTTATCTTCTTTGCCCTCAATCTTACTATCTACAATCACCCCTTCTCTATCTACATTCTTCTCTTCCTTATCTACAATCCCCTCTTCTCTATCTACATTCTCCTCCTCCTTATCTACATTCTCCTTAACCTTACTATCTATAATCACCCCTTCTCTATCCACACTCTCCTCTTCCTTATCTACAATCTCCTCTTCCATATCTACATTCTCCTCCTCCTTATCTACAATCTCATTTTCATTATCAATATACTCCTCTTCCCTATCTACAAGTTCCTCTTCAACAATCTTATGTACAGCTTCTTGCATGATGGGTCTTCCTTATGTACACTGCTTGATTTAGACTTCTGTTCCTCCTCAGCTATCTGTGGCTTCAACTTTTTTTTTTATATAATTTTCTGTTTGATATTTACCTTCAGTACCACCGGCGGGTCTATAACCTCATCATGTCTACCAAAATTTACAATTATTCTATTTAGCCTGTTGATCTCAATCATAAATTCTTTACAATATGTACTCTTGCTCTTCTTTGTGGCAAATAGTAGTCGTTTGAGAAATTTAATAGAATTTCTCTAAAAGGTAAGTTGCTGCTCAATAGGGAGATCATTCACCACATCTTCATCTTCAAAAGCATTGTCAATATGCTTTGCCACGATCTGAGATTATTAAGAGATTATAATTTAAAGTAGGATTAGACATAACATGGATATTGTTTGCAGTTAACATAAAATAATATAGAGTTAACATAACAGGATACTTACATAGCCTATTGATAAGTTCTTATTCATTTCCTCTTCATTCACCTTCCTCTTGCCCTTAAGCTTATGATGCACTCCTTCACCCCTCTGAACTGCGGGAAGTGCATATACATTTGAAGGAGCAGGCCCAACTTCCACAATAGGCCTATAAACAAATGTTATTGAAGCTGACTTAGCCTTTGATGCAATTGTCCTCACCCTCATAGATGTGACTTTCACCTCCTCTGATGCCTAATTTGTCATTGAATGCATGGTGCTATCGACATAGGCATATTTTTTTATGCTCGTCATCTCGTAGTACCAAAGCTATAGCAAATACATTAAGCATTCAAATTAGAACTAGCAATGTATAAATTAGAACTAGACTATACCAAAGTAAGTAAAACATGGATGTAGCTAGTCCTAACATGGTATAAATTATGACTAACATGACATAAATTAGAATTATCATGATCTATGTTAGAACCAACATGAACCCAAGTAGAACTAACATGATTTCTGTTAGAACTAATATGGGTATAACTAGAACTAACATGATATAAATTAGAACTAACATAACATAAATTAGAACTAACATGGTGTAAACTAAAACTAACATGATGTAAATTAGAACTAATATGGTGTAAAGTAGAACTAACATGTCATAAGTTAGAACTAATGTGGCATAAATTAGAACTAGAATGAATCAAAGTAAGTAAAACATGAAACTTACACACAGTAGTGTTATGCAACATGAGACATATGTGACCCCTGGCTACTTCTTACCCTCCAAAGCAACTCTAATGCCCCTGGTAATTTCTGAATAAAAGAATTGGACCCATACAACTCCTTTGACCCTCTCAATGCTATCTAGGTACCTGATTATAGGTCTAGGGATACCTTCCCCGCTTCTGGGGCACCATATCATGGAGTATTGATACAAAATTTGTAGCAGAACAAAGTCTTAAATATCCTGCTTTTCTATATATTCCACGAGCTTTTCCAGTTGCCCTTCAAGGTATCTTCAATAGGTGATTGTTGCTTTTTTTTAACTTTTTCTTCTCTTTAGTTTTGAAAAGATTAGCGAAATATTCCACTCATATTCTGTTTCTTGAGTCTTGATTGATACTTATGAGTTCCCCATGAATTAGAAAATAAGTATGGTTATAGACCCATTGTAAATCAAATTTAACACTTTTTAGTCCCCTAGTTTTTAAATCAGGGATAGAAAATGTGTCATTAGCGCTATTGTAAAAGCTCAGCAACAGTTCAAGTGTGGGACGATCAGGCGTAGGAGCCCCAAATAATATATAGTGCTCAAATATAGATTTACAGTATGCATCCTTATGCCACTGACATATCTTCGGGGCAATACGCTTCATGAATTCCTAATAAGCCCCGATATTGGCGGTTAGCCTTATTGATTTGCCCGCAGTATCAACGACTTTTTTCCTGTGAAAGAAATTTGAATTTGCAAGTTCAATTAGACCTAACGTGGCATAAATTTGACCTAACACTAACACGCATCTAGAACTAACATGGACTCAAACTAGAACTAAAATGGATTGTGGTAAACCCTAGCATTATTTAAGATGAACTGAAATTAGGGGAAATTAGGTCGAGTCCCAAAATCCTGGATAACATAGCACTTACTAATTTTTTTGGGAGGGTTCGTTGGTGAGGCCAGCCCTTGCCATTCTTCTTTTCTGGTCTCGCCATTCTACTGGCTGTCTTTACATTTTCATAAGGGTTTGAGTGGCTTCCTCCACGCTGCCAAGCCCAGATGAACCGTGATGAACGACTTTGTAGTCGTTAACAGATTCTGCTTCCCTGGACGATATTTTTCTGGCGAAAACCCAAGAACTGTTGAAATCCAACGAGAAAATTGAAATGTTAAGATTTCGGTGGCTCCTCAGTGGTGGAAGAGAGGGGGAAGAGGAAGAGGGTACTTGAATATGGAGGGGACGCAGTAACCGAGTTCAGTCCCATCAAAGGGGCAAGTTCGTAACTTCCATTGGGTTTTTTTTGAAAAACGGTATTTTGAGGCCTCGTCACAAATACTGTGTGTATTTGGAGTTTATCCACATGAGGCAGAATACAAGGACATCGTCACATGAAGTTTCTGCTTTTGGGACACATTTTTCCCAAGAAAGTTTTCTGGATTGGCCCAGAGTATATCTAAACTTATTATTGTTTGAAAGAGTAATGAACCCAAAGAAATAGGCTTTTTTTGGGAATATCTTTAAACAATAAATTAACATCATTTAGGTCAGGTCTAGCAATTTGGGATTAGTGAATTAGTGTTAGCTTAAGGAGAGTGCTAAAACACGCTTGTCAAGCCAAAATAATAGCACACGTCGTTACAATTAGATTACATTCTTTAATTAAATTGAAAAAAAATCTTATATTTGACCAAACTAATCCTCTTGTTGGGTGGCCCACTAGAATGGCGCCGTTACCTTTATTTATTAGTGAAGAAGCTAGATATAGTTATTAAACATATTAAAATCTCTATAACAACTCAAAGAATAGCTAATCAGCTCATGACATAGATTTGGTGGTTTAAAAAAAAACATCATGCTAAAAAAATAGATATGAGGAGAAAACATATATTCACATATTCATCCAATAATCGAATTTCTTCAACACGTTACACACGTGAAAGCTACATAAGAGCTAAAAGAAGTCCGCTCCCCATCCAACATTGTAGCTTTGTCTCTAAATATTAGAACATTTATTATCATCCTATTCCAATAGCAAGGAGATTAATTGCATTTAATTTGATTCTTCTATTCGTCCAAGGATCAATTGCACACCATGAGAAGGCCTCAAACTAAGCATAATCCGAGGAGAATGTGTGTATGCCGGAGACACAGCCATAGAGAACTTACATAAAATATGGCTCAATACGATCTTATACTCCGTTATGGTGAGGTTCCTCCCGATGCAAATCCTGCCTCCAAATCCGAAGGGCAGAAACCCCATTCTGTGCTTGCATCCTCCGTGTAGATTCCCTTCAAACCTCTCGGGTCTAAACTCATTCACGTCGTCACCCCAGAGAGATCGGTCATGGTGCATTCCCACGACGTCGACCCACATATTTGTTCCTTTTGGGATATGAATATTTCCGACTGTAATGTCTTCTCTAGCCTGTCTTTGAGAATTAGGTGCCGGAGAGTACAGTCTTATAACCTCGTTAAATATCCATTCCATCTGTGCAGGATAACAAATGATTAAGTAAATTGGAGAGAACAAGAAAAAAAAAATATCTGCACAATCTTAGAAGGTCATGGAAATGGGTATATATTTCTTTATAATTAATTAATGGGAGATCGACAGATGTGACATGTGGCATGTGACGAACTACATATTAGTCATACACGTATGCAATCATATAATTGTCGACATGTACATGTTAATGATATGCTTAATTAACATAGAATGATTAATGTTGCTTTCACTATCACAAAGTTGAGAATGTATTATTGAAAAATAAATGATTCTATATGTACTTTATTTCTTTAGTTTGTAAGTGTTGACATCAGGTGGGCAGTCAGTTGCAGAGCTTTTTCTTGTTTAATTAATATAGTAGCTAGCAAATTAAGACTAGCCGATTCTCTATTGTGCAGCTCTCATGCAAGTTTCGTAAGGAAAAAGAACTAGATCCAAACTCAGATAGGAGAGGCAAATGCCTACTCTTCACTTTAATCAAAGTAACTACTCCAATGTTATGACACTAATCTATCCTATCTAATAAATTAAGCTGATTGAAGATGTGCATGTTCCCTCTGTTGTGAGTAAAAGCTAGATATATTGAACTTCAAGTAATGCTGTTTTGGGTTGGGTCCCTAGCTACTTACTCTCTAAATAATTAGTTTTGATCTTTCTTACTTATTAAATTATTTTTAGTCCCTGTGTGCCCTAAAATTATTGAATTTGTTGTATGACTGCTATTTAATAGCTTAGGGAATAGTGTGAGACAAAAAATAGTTTATGAGGAAAACATGTAACAAATTCAATAGTCTAAGAGGTACGTAAAGTATATCCCAGCAGTATAATAGGTGTACGTGTCTGTAATTATCCCTGTTTAATTTAGATAATATATAGTTGTAGGAGTCTTTACCTTTGTTAGCTTGGGTAGCATTGTGGAATCTAGGGGTTCTCCTTTTGAAACCTCCATGATCTCCTCCCTCAATGCCTTCTGCCATTGTGGATATTGAGCTAACAAGAACAAGCTCCAAGTTAGGGCAAGTGAAGTTGTTTCATGGCCACCAAAAAAGAAGGTCTTGCACTCATCGACAAGCTCCCTACTAGTGAGCTTCCTCTCTACCTTAGCACTCTCTTGATTGCTAGCAAGCAATAAGCCAAGGAGATCATTGTGGGTGTTAACATTGGCATCATCTTCCTCTCTAGTTCTTGATTCAATGATTTTCAGTAGGAGATGGTCTATTTCACCTCCTAGCTTCTTCGCCTCCTTGGTCCTCTTTGGATTGAGGAACTTGCAAAAGGGAACTCCTATGAGTGGGTTGGACTTGAAGAGAATTGCTTGCAATGCTTGCAATTTCTGAAAAACATTCCTTCCTTCTTCATTGCTTATGCCAAAAGTTACATTGGCTATGATCTTGGCTGCATTTATAGTGATATCCCTCTCAATATCAATCTCATTTTTGCCCATGGAGATACTATGATCCCATTGTTGTAGCATCTTTGAAGTTGTTTCCATCATCATGTTTATCATAGCCTACAAAAAAAAAAAAAAAAATACTACGAGATAAGCGTGCATTATTGAAAAACTTAGTGACATTGACAAACTCAAAATGGGACCAAGATGGAACCTAAATCAGAATTGAACCTAAGTCTAAAAAATAGCTCGTATACCACTTTAAAGCTAGACCACCCCCTAACTTTTTAATACTAGGAAGGGGGACTCTTGAATGTGGAAACAACTTTTGAAAATCAGAGATAAATGCCTGGTTTTGTATGGAGGGATTGAAAGCCTCAAGCAACGTATAGACTCTTGCTGTGTCAATTCAAGAATACAACTCTCTGGTCTATATACCAGTCTGCATCCTATTTCTACACAAGTTACATGGTATGATACAGTTTGGGAAAAACTAAATTATCCTAAGCACTCGTTCATCTTGTGGCTGGCTGTTCAAGATAAACTTCAAATTCAAGATAGACTACTTAAGCATGGGATCATTCAGACTTCAGTATGCAAGCTGTGTGATGACTCATGTACAGAGAGCCGTAATCATCTCTTTTTTGAATGCTCAATGTCTAACTATGTCTGGAATGGTATAATAGAGTGGCTTAAATTCAAATGGAGATGCTGCGAATGGTCTTCCCTCATGAATTGGTACAGTTTCAGATTGAGGGGTAGTGGGTTAAAGCAAAAAATCAAAAGGATGGCATTAGCGGCTACTATCTACAATATTTGGAGAGAAAGAAATTCCAGAATTTTCAAGATGGAGAATAGAACTGCTGACAGTTTGATCAAGAACATTAAGTTGGACATTCTCACAGCTATCTTAAAAAAGTCCATGTCGGCTGAATGTAGAGGATGGGTTCTCTCTTTGTAGAGCTCACTGAAATCTCTGTGTTGCCAGATTACAGGTATGAAGAAGAACTACTCATGGTGTGGAGGATAATCCTTTAGAGAGCTTTAAGTTGAGAACTGCTTTAGTCTGTTTGAATACCTGTATGTCTCATGCACAGGTTATACCGAAGTTGAAGATTAAGAGTGTTTTGTTGAGCTCTTCTATTAGAACTGCAAGTTGTTATCTCACCTTTTGGCAGTGAGATTCTTGATGTATACACCTTTTACATTTTGGAAATGAATAAATTCTTCATTTACCAAAAAAAAAAAGCTAGACCACCCCCTAACTTTTTCCTAGCTTGATAAAGCTATGTCAGGATCAGCCCTGACCTAGTTTTGGGTGGTTAACAAACACAACCTTACATTCTTAAAATGATGTGAAGTAGACTTACATTCAGATTAGTCATGGAAAACGCCGGTGCAATGACATTTCTATGATGAGACCAACCTTCTCCTTCAACCATGAGCAATCCATTTCCGAACATTGGTTTCCTATCTCTCTTGAAAACGTTTGGTTTTCCCCATTTGTTGCCCAAACACCCGGAAGTCACTTGCTTGAGGAACTCCGGGTCCGCGACATACAAGAATGGTTCAGTCCCTAGCCAATATATGAACACTTTACCTATATACAAAAGTAAGTAAGTTCAATATACGCAAGCATAAATAACTCGGCTTTATTTTGCACACATAAGATAATTAGATGTTACTTACCATAAGTTTTTCTCCACAAAGCAAAGTAAGGAAACACTATTGAGTGGATGTCATGTGTTACGGAGTTTAAAGAAGAAGCAGAAGTTTCTTTTAGTCTCTTGCTTATTTCAAGCAAGTTTCCTAGAGGGAACAAAGGAGGAGGACCTCTGAGGCCATTTCTTTTTAGCCTAAGCTTCACCTTTAATGGTAAGAGCCAGAATACCGAAATTGCAACGGAAAGGAGAAAGAGGAGAAGGGCTCCCATGGCTATGTTCAAAGCTCGCATGGATGCAAATTGGACAACTTTTCTAAGCTTGAAACTTGAAAGATATGTAAAGAAGCAAAAGAGCTATCTTGTTTTGTGTAAGAAAGAAAGGGGCCATCCTCTATTTTATAGCGTTGTGTTAGGCTCTCATATGTTGGCTTTGTTCAATAAAATTGAAGTGTTAATTTGACCATGAAAAGTCAACAAATGAGAATACTCCCTCTAATATTATACAGCCTCTTTGGAGAATAATGATATAATTAATTGACACCCAATTTTGATTACACCCAATTACACCCATCCACTAGCACATTGGACCTACACGTGACAGGGATCAAAGTAAACCAAGGCAACTCCGCGGACCATGATGCGCTAATATGATGCTTGAAAATAGAAGAGACAACACCTAGAATAATTAGACTCCAATTATTCTCAACTCAAGGTCACCTTTGGGTAAAGTTCTTGAGTCCTTGATAAGTGCTTACTCAACAAAGTTTACATATGTTAAATGATTTATTCAAGGTGAATTAGATTCTGGTCAAGCTAGCTAGGCTTGAGGATTTCCAAGCAAGTCTTCATATGTGAACTGGAAAACATGAGAAAACCTATTCAAGCCTTGTTAAAATTTGTGAGCAAGTTGATATATTAAACCAACTAATTTCAAAGTCTGGATGAGCCTTGTTTTGATAATAATGTTGAACAGGGAAGTATTCCCTCTTGTTTTTTTAAAGCAACTCATTTCAAACCTGACGCTTGGGTTGAAATTGTACATCAAATTTCAAATTGTTGTATAATTTAAAGGGCAAATTAGAGAAAGTATAGGCTTAGATCTAGAGGGCGTGTGAGGCAAAGAATAAAGTATTAAAACGAAAAAGAAAAGCCTCAAGAAAGGACGAGAAGTGGGACTTTTAAGGGTTGGTGAGAGTAGTCATGGATTGACATGAAGGAGTGGGTGTATTAATTAACTTCTTCTACTTCATAATATTATTTATTTATAGTATTTTTCCTTTATTAGGATAAAAAGGATTTGATCAAGCAATAGTTTGAATAAAGAAACATTAAAGAAAGTTACTGCCAAGCCGAAATGAGATGCCTGTGGAAGATATTATTTCCTCATTCTTATGTTACGATAAGGAGAACTAATTCTTTTGACACCCAACACATAGAAAGTAAGCAATCACATGGCTTGTGAATCGATGCCTGTGGCTATTACTTGTTAATTAGTAAGCAAAGTGGTTTACGTTGTGACAACGTTAGTTTAAGAGCACTTTAACAATGACAATATACAACTCTGTATTATGAAAAAGAAAATTTTAAACTTTCACATGGAAAAGCATTTCAAAATTCTTAGACAAAATCACCAAATTTATCATCATAATTTGTCCATTATTTTATTCTCTCAAATCTAAAAATTAGATTTTTTTACATCAAAACCACATTTACTTTTACCAAAATTGCTACTTACTACATTTAAAGTATTTTTTTAATTACTATGATCGAATACCACATTTACTTGCTAACATGTTTGCAATGTCACACTGATTTGAGTTTCTAATAAAAAAAAACGTGAACTGACCATTTTGCCCCTAGCTAAGACACATACTTTGCATTCGTGTGTCCTAATTAATTATAAACTTAAGGTTTTTTCAATATTAGTCCTCCAAATCTTACATATATTGAAATTAGTCCCTCAAATCACACACATACTCTCTCTCTCTCTCTCTCTCTCTCTCTCTCTCTCTCTCTCTCTTCTCTCTCTCTCTCTCTCTCTCTCTCTCTCTCTCTCTCTCTCTCTCTCTCTCTCTCTCTCTCTAAAAAAACCATGAATCTCCTAACCCAACTCCTCAAACACTAGCCCAATTCTCAACCCTAATTCCCAATCCTCAAGCCCTAACCTCATCTCCCCACAATCCTTTTCTCTCCTTCCAATCCAAGAAACCACCTCCACTCCACCCCACACCCCCAAATCTTCCCCTAAAGCCTAACCTCACCTCCGCTCAATCTTTCCTACCCCCTAGAAACCAATAAATTAAAAACCACCTCGAGACCATACTCAAGGAGAAAAAGATCAACAAATCGACCTCCCTATAACTCTCTTTTGTGAGGACGACACTGGTCAATAGAAAATGACATTTATTTTGGGGACTAATTTCAAAATATGATGTTTTTAGGGTCTGATACAAAACATGAAAGATTTGGGGACTAAAATTGAAAAATGTTTGTTTTTCATAATTGACTGGAGATACATGCTCTGCACGTGCTCGAGGGGTGAGGGTATTCTTGTCATTTTACTTGTTGTTAGGATCAAAATTTAAGGGTTAATTTCACAAAACCACCATAAACTTTAGGGGTTGTTGCACATAAGCCCCTAAACCTTTCTTATCTCCCATAATCCCCCTAAACTATGGTTTCTCTCAAAACCCTGCTAAACTTTATCTTATCTCACCTAGCCCCAATACATATAAATTGCGAATAACTAAAATATCTTCGAGTGAAAAAATCTCAAACTTTGTCACTTGTTATTTACATACAATATTCTCCCTTCCCAAAATTTTGAGTTTTTCCCCTCAAGAAATTATTACTTATTTGGAAACTATAGGTAATGGGTTAGATGAGATAATGTAAAGTTTAGGGGGGGTTTGAAAGACACCTCATAGTCAGGGGAGTTAAGTGAGGTAAACAAAGTTCAAGGGGGGTTATGTACAACACCCTCTAAATTAATCTAAAATTTAAATATGTATGACATTGCAACGCTGTTAGCAAGTAAAAACGATATTTAGCAGATTTTTTTTAAATGTTGTAGTATCAATTTTGATAAAAGTAAAGATGATTTTGATGCAAAAACCCTAAAATTAAACCAATGTATGCACACAATTCTATAAAAGTCAACATCAGAATCCAAATCTTAGCAACTGTTATGGTGTTCCCATTCACTTGAGTGCAACTTAGTGCCAAGCAACGGACGTGTACTTTTGCATGTTATGCCCCCATCAACTTACTGGCCAGAGACTTCTAGGGACGACAACTCAGCCGACTTTTCGAGTTGACATCCCCTTATGTCGACTCGAAAGGCGATACTTGTCGCCCCTTTTTGTCGAAGACGACTCACAATGAGTCCACTCGACCGTTTGCCAAACGACTTGAAAGGTGTTAATTCTCGGCAAAGCTAAAGGACAACTCTTCCTGGAGCCTATCCTTACTTGTAATTATCAACATCGTATTTAATGTATGGCAGGCACATCATGCCTCTAGTCTTGATAGTCTTCATGACTTATTAGACCACGTAGGTCACCGTCCTGCCACCGCTCACTTCTCGTTTAAAGCTAAAGTGATCATTCCCCCACTCGACAGCCGATACCTGTAAAGCAAGTGCTGACGCAGTTGCCAGCCCACACTTTACCACCGTTCTTCTATTCGGCCGAAGTGATCAATCTACCCTTATACCCTACGTATAAATACAGGTACTAGTCTGTCTTCAGAGAGGACCGAAGATCGAGGAGAAGATCTGGTCCTGTAGACGGTAAAAAATACCTCTATAGGCTCACAGGAAATTCGCCTGCGGAAAGAGCTCGCACGCCCGGTTCGCTGGCACGGGCCTAAATCGCATGGACATCGCACATGCTCGATTCTAAGTTCGCCTTACGGTCGGCTCGCCAGCACGAGTTAAGATCGATTAGGATGGCGGAAGTTCGCCTTTCACTCAACTCGCCTGCCCGAGTCCAGAGTCGAATCCGCCAGCAAACCCCAAGACCGTCAGTACAGCTGGGTATCCACTACCCCATGTGCTGAGATGGACCTTCCCATCTCTCTCGACCCGAAGGGAGAGAGAGCACGATACCCCAGGATCGTCAAACGGCCGCTCGCAGTACGCGCAGCACGAAAGCCTGGACAGGTGTCGAGTCAACCTGAGCATTCATAAATGCGACTCCCCTCGGATGTCTGAGCCAAGAGCTGGACCCGCCGGCACTCGGCAAGCTGGCTAGACCCACTCGAGTACTGTACACCTACTTCACCGCCTCTCCTGACCGGAAAGGAGAAAGCACCGTGCTCAAAGCACGCCGGGCGGTCACGCACAGTACAAGTGATCGGACAGACACTTCATCGATCTGCGGACTCATAAATGCGGTTCATTAATGCTGGTCAAATCCACTCGGATAGCAGTCGTTCGTTGCCTCACACACAAGATGGGCCTTCCCATCGTAGGTGATAGGACATAGAGCACAATCCCTGAAATGACCATTCATGGTATCGAGGAACGGCGAGACGTCTCTGAAGAGGATGTGGTCACATCCCACAATTCAAGGAGAAGTCGAGCTGTCCTTCTTTCATTTAAAAGCCCCTTCCAGCACGATTGAGAGGAGGTCGCAAAACTTGGAGGAAAAAGAGTTGAGACCAAGCTGTTAGCAAATCCTTGCATTACAGCACCGCTGCCTAGTTCCGAGCTCCGATCGCCGACGAACTAAGCAGACCCGAACTCCATTACCCCGAGCTTCTACTGCGAACTGAAGCTCTCCAGCAACCTCATTCAAACAGTCCAAGTGAAGCAGACTCGACCCGAGCATCGAGCGAAGCATCCTATAGCCACCTAAAGTCCCCGCACAAAACAAAGATCCTATAGCCACCTAAAGTCCCCGCACAAAACAAAGAGGGCCTTCCCTCTGCTTCTGTTGTAAACATTTGATTTGTTAGTTTGTAATAAGCTTTCTTATAAATACAAACGAAACTCCTTTCTTCGGAAGAATCAAAATTTCACCCTACAGGTCCCTGATCCAGATTTACTAAAATTACAAATCATACTGCACACACACAATAACTCTCATAGTTCTTATTTACCTCACTCAAGTTTATCAGCTAGCTTGATCGTCGGAGGTATAACGGGGAAACCAAGCCCCGTCCTCTCACAAATTTCTACATGTGCGGATTTCTCAGATTCCCAGTTCAAGAACCAAACATAAAGTTGGAGAAGAAAGCGTCCTTTCACCAATCCTCAACAAACTCATCCAAACACGGATACATATTAACTGTGTGATCACTAGTACATTAATAGTTTGGTGCCCACTGTGGGGCATGTTTCTT